GTGCAAATGAAGTATACTACCTTAAAGATAAACATTGTATGTAAAGTAAGAGACTTATGTTTACACTATAACTAAAATGAAAGACACTACGAATACAGTCGTGATCCTGTATCTCTTAACGCGTAAACTGCTAAAGGTTTATTTTTATTTTTGACTTTTCATCAAGACGGCGGCATTCAATTCGGAAATTCAGGTTTGATCGATAATATCTCTCTTGTACCTGCATTATTATCATTGCATTTGGTATCATTGGAAACCCTGTTCATTTTCCTTTACAAAACAGTAAAATAGCCAGGTTGTGTACTTAATTGTGTATGCAGCGTGGACCTTACATGCGAGGTCTGCTTCCTATTTCTGAAGTTAGATGAAATTTTATCGATGGATGCTAGGATAACCCCTCTTCATTTTAAATTCATAATGTTTGCGAAATATTATTATTCTCGGGAGATATTGTGCATGCGCGAGCACCGTTTTAGACGTGCAGTACGGCCAAAGGAAAAGTACGTAAATATAGCTTGTTGGGGCAGAGAGGGGTAGGAAACTGAGGCAAGGTGGCAGGGAAGACAGCCGAGGGGCGATGAAAGGATAAGGACTCTGAGCGTGCGACAATGGAGACAAAGGGAAGGACGGGCGGGGATAAAGTAGGAGTTTTGCACCCTACAGGATAAGGCGCTCTCCTAACTATAAACACAGGTCTACTGATAATAATTTATTACAGAAACCTATGTTAAGATATCCCCTGACCATACTAAATGCCTTTTCATCACAAAATATAACTCCTCTGGTGAGATATTGCGCATGCGCTAAAACAGTAAGGAAGCCAGGTTATGTACTTAATAGTATATACAGCGGGTTCTTACATGCGAAATCTGCTTCCTATTTCTGAAGTGAGGTCTACAGGTAAACTTTTATCATATATATGCTAGGATACCCCCTCTTCATTTTAAATTCATAATGTTTGCAAAATATTCTTCTTCTCAGGAAATATTGCGCATGCGCTAGCTCCGTTTCAGACGTTAAATACGGCCAATACGGCCAACGGAAACGTACGTAAATATAGCTTGCTGAGGGAGAGAGGGGTGGGAAACTGAGGGAAGGTGGCAGGGAAGACCGACGAGGGGAGGTGGAAGGAAAAGGAGGCTGAGCGTGCGACAACGGAGACAAAGGAAGGGCGTGCGGGGATAAAGTAGAAGTTTTGCACCCTACAGGCTAAGGCGCTCACCTAACTATAAACACAGGTCTACTCATAAGAATTTATTACAAAAACCTATGTTAAGATATCTCCTGACCATACTAAATGCGTTTCCATCACAAAATATAACTCCTCTGGTGAGATATTGCGCATGCGCTAAAACAGTAACGTATAGCCAGGTTATGTACTTAATAGTATATACAGCGGGTCCTTACATGCGAAGTCTGCTTCCTATTTTTGAAGTGAGGTCTACTGGTGAACTTTTATCATATAGATCTATGCTAAGATAACCCTTCTTCATTTTAAATTCATATTGTTTGCACAATATTCTTCTTCTTAGGAGATATTGCACATGCGCGAGCACTGTTTCAGTCTTTAGACGTGTAGTACGGCCAAAGGAAAAGTACGTAAATATAGCTTGCTGAGGGAGAGAGGGTGGAAAACTGAGGGAAGGTGGCAGGGAACACAGGCGAGTGACGGTGGAAGAAGAAGGAGGCTGAGCGTGCGACAATGGAGACAAAGGGAAGGGCGGGCGGGGATAAAGTAGAAGTTTTGCACCCTACAGGCTAAGGCGCTCTCCTAACTATAAACAGAAGTCTACTGATAAGAATTAATTACAGAAACCTATGTTGAGATATCCCCTGACCATACTAAATGCGTTTTCATCCCAAAATATAACTCCTCTGGTGAGATATTGCGCATGCGCTAAAACAGTAACGTAGCCAGGTTATGTATTTAATAGTATATACAGCGGGTCCTTACATGCGAGGTCTGCTTCCTATTTTTGAAGTGAGGTCTACTGGTGAACTTTTATCATATAGATCTATGCTAGGATGACCCCTCATCATTATAAATTCATAATGTTTGCAAAATATTCTTCTTCTTAGGAGATATTTCACATGCACGAGCACTGTTTCAGGTGTGCAGTACGACCTAAATAATAGTAAGTAATATATACGATAGGTATATATAATATATATACGAATATACATATAGATCTACAGCAGATATCAATAGCTACTGGAGAGCTATCGAGCGCGCGCGTACTAGCCTTACGTATGACAAGTCTACGATAAATCCATCTACATGCTTGTAGGATCGGGTAAGTATGGAGGTGACAGATTCTGGAAACTCGAGACTATCAAATCCTTTCAAATGATCCCTACTAGAACACTTGCCAGCGGTATATGGTTCGAGGTTCGTGTATCTCGTTCGGTATAATTCGCGGAGTAATTTTAGATTTATATTTTTCATTTTGTGGAGACCAAGCACAAATAGATTAATATGTATAGGGGAGAGCTTGTATAATTATTTGCAGAAGTCACAATGGTTCAAAAACCTGGGGGGTGACATTTTATTAATAGGTTGTCCCACCCTTCCGAAAAGTGTGGGGGGGGGGAGGTGTCCTCGTGTCCTCGGTGGCATTTTTGCGCCCTATGTGGCCGCCTGGCCGTGAGGGTGTGGCATATCCTGGTGGTGTGGTGTGTTGTGGTGTGTGTGTGTGTGTGGGTGTGTGTGGGGTGGTGGGTGTGTGTGTTGTGTGGTGTGTATGTTGCGTGGTGTGTGGTTGCGGTACCGCGCCTGGGTGGTGTGTTGTGTGGTGTTGAGCCTGGTGTGTGTGTGGGTGTGATTGGTGTGTGTGTCGTGTGTGATGTCGTTCGTCGTTCTTAGGCATATGGCCTAGTGGGTAGCGTCGTGGGCTTCGTAATGTGACCGGAGCAGCCGGTGAGCCTTGGCGCGGCTCATGGCGGGGAAGAAAGGCGAAGGCATCCTTGGGCTTCCCCACGACGTGAGCACGAGCACATTTCGTGCGTCCTGTGTACAAAGTCACGCTGTGCTGACGGTATATAAGTAGGACAGTTGTCAGACGTTGTCGTATTTAAGTTTTTATATATGCATATATAATATACGTGTGTGCGTATATATTAAATTAATAAATAAAATAATGTTTATCTACTAAGGATGTCGTACATGAATAAACAGTGGCTGAATAGCAGCTTTCATTACAAAATTTATTTTTATTAGACACAAACTAATGAAAAAAGGAGCTTGCCAGTTACTTTTAGGTAAAACCTGCTGTCACACATATCGCTGATCACAACGACTCCCTTTGATATTAAGAGTTGGATTATCTGATCTCTTGTATTATCATCTGGCTCTTTGCCCTTGGCTGAGGCCCTTGGCAGGTTCCAGTTTTGTTATTATTCTTAGCTGCTACTAGATGGCGCTGCGCAATAATAACTCGATAAAATTTCGTGATCACAAGTAAAGTAGTTCACCTAAATATATACAAATTATCATGTGTATAAAAAACAGAGGAGTGGATCTCGAATCCCAATCTATGATTAAAACAGTGAATGTATAAAGGCAGGTGATTCTTTGGTGATATTACAAGTTTTCATCTCTTAACGAAAGAAAAAAGTTCCGCGAGTGTGCTAGTCAGCGGATGACTATATACTTAGCAGGAGGGGACATGGGTGAAGCGGTGACTCACTCGGCAAGCATTGTAGTGTTCGTTTTGTGTGTTGTTGTACATGTAGGCCTACACCGTGCAATTTTAGTCAGAGCAGCAATGAGTAGTGCTGAAAGGAACTCATAATCGTAATGTTTGTGCACATCATGTTTCCAACGAAGTGTCATGGGTATTTCGCACTAGGTGTTACGGTAAGTAAATGTTATCATCCAACACGCAGATCCAAAGCAGTTCAGAGTATTGTGCAAATACCGATAACGTGGAATTGGTACTAGTAGTTCTAGTTGATGTTCTACTTCTAGTTGAGACACGGTTTGTTTAACAAAGTAGGAAAGAAAACTGTTACAAAGTTAGCATTAGCAACTTGAACCTTGATATATGAGTTTGACAGCATGAACCCCATGATCAGTCATTATAATTAGCGTTTAAATCGATTGCAGCGCTAAGTAGATGCAGTCATGTCAAGTGAAGTGCTTCCTTCCACAGGTTTTGTGTACTGGCCGGTAACACATTAGAAACGTGACCAGCAAGATACTATGTGACAGTCATGTAAAGAGTTTAACTGTGCCAATGCCAGGAAGTGAAATAATAATGACTTCTTCAGAAGCAACTGAGTTTATGAAGTCCCCATTGGTGGAGTGGGTGAGTATTGATTATTACTTTTACAATGTAATCTAGGCCTACGTGCTATATGTACTATGTGGTAATATGCTGTAACTTGTAAGTTACAAAATGTGAAAATCTAATTCTGTGAAACATTTTTCTGGTGTAGGCCTATAGTAATATTACGACTACCAGTAAAATTAACTGGATTCAAGACGACGTACAAATTAATCGTTGTAGCCTAAACATTTGTATACTTGTTGTGTGTTTGGGGTAGGTGGTGGAGGAACGAAATGGGAGATATATTGTACATGCACTGTACGTGTAAAGAAAGTGAACAATCAAGAAGGCCGATATAGTGTTGTCATCGTTATATACTAGTATTATCATTTGTGTATGATGTAGCCGTGTACATAAGTTGTAATGTACTACGCAAACACAGTTTTTTGGCAGATGCATTGCATATGTAGCTTAAATGCGTATGTGAGAATGTGAGATGCCCTGTTGATATTTCCCCCTAAACAGATAACAATGACAAATCGCTCATATTAAAGTTGGCAGATGGCAAAAGCGAGTGATAGGTAAATAAAAGTTAGCCGATGTTGTGGTAGATGAAGTTAGATCGCGCATGTTTATGTTTGTTTCTAGGTGAAGACGTTCAACACCAGCAATGAGCTGCTCATGTTTAGTGATTTGTATGAAGGAGTGTTCCTCAACGATGTCATGTTTCAGATGTGAGTACGCATATTGAATGCACGGCGTGCATGTGCCTTTTTGGAATGTCGTAGAACGTACATCAGGGTATGGTGAAACTAGTTGGGGGATGGAAGGAGAAGAGAAGAGAAAGGAGATGAGATTGAGAGAGGGAGAGAGAGAGAGAGAAAGATAGAGGGAGTGAGAGAGAGAGAGAAAGAAAGATAGAGAGAGAGAGAGAGAGAGAGAGAGAGAGAGAGAGAGAGAGAGAGAGAGAGAGAGTTACTACAATGTGAATCGACGGTTCTGCAAAACAATTTACAGTTCTAATCAATGCAATGATTTCTTACGTTTGGCTGCTACAATTACGATAACAACTGGCAGTGTGTATAAATCTAGCTTGTTATTAAATAACATGTACACATGTAGTTGATTTTTCAATTTGCTTACTTTTGATTGAGCGTAGTCGTAGTTATTCATTGGTTTGGAGAGCCACAAGAAGTTTTCTTGTCAGTTGGATCATATTACCTGGCCAAGTGCTGCATCTTGTGGCCATGTGTGCTGGATGTGTGTGGTGTCATCTGGGATGGGGAGGTGGGGTCAGTGTCCTTGCCTTTAGACCATGTGTCCTAGTGGCATGGAAATATTTTGTCTGTCAGTAGACAGAGCTAGTGTTTCGTGCAGTGACTGGAGAAGTGGGAATAGTCAGATGCTTTCTAGTCTGTCCTAGAAGTTTAGGATCCATCGCTGTTGTAGATTAATAGACTGATGCTCGAGTGTTTTCCACGCAGACTGTTATACTTATAGTGACTGTCAGTGTCACTGTATCCTCTAGAAGTTTAGGATATGTCACATTATTACACACTGATATACAGGTGTGTGTGTGTGTGTGTGTGTGTGCGTCAGTGAAAAAAATACACGGGGGCTCTGAGCGATTTAGCCCCCGAAATGCCAAAAAGAGCCCCCGTAAATTTGCATAGAGTTTAATGCAAACCAAATTTTAGAGTGCTATTTTCATGCACGCGAGCTTGAAAAGTAGCCCCCGAAAAATAAATTATAATTTTTCCCCTGGCGTGCATGTGTGTGTCTGTGTGTGTGCGTGCGTGCATGTGTGTGTGCGTTTTACATGCAGCATCAGATTCTTACCCAACATGGTTGCTCAGACGTGTACGATCTGTCTCTACGGTGGCAAGATGTACGTTCGTGTATTTTACGCACAGTGATTTGCGACCATGCAGCGCCTCGTCACAGAAATTCACGATGCGATCATGCTCTTATCACTGCCTGATGTACGTTCGTGTGTTTTTCCGTTCAGCGATTCGCGGTTATCGGACCGGGAGGGCCGGACGGTTGTGCGTGCGGTGGACAGCGTCAACGCGCGCATCCAGAACTTTGACATCCTTCTGCAGTCTATCAAGAACTTCTACGAGGTGAGTGAGCTATTTCGTTCAGTCTGTGGCTGGAATCGACTACATAGTGGTTTGGCTGGTTGTCTGTTGGTTCCAATTCACGATTCATGTATGGATTTCGAATCAAGACATCGATACCCTCACACGTTTACATTTGTGTTGATCATTTACTAGAAGTGAATGATTAGTTTGTTGTGAATAGTTGTTTTGCGATAATTTGATGACACGGTCAGTTCATTCGGAGAGAAATAAATGATGTGAAATTTACAATGTAAAATATTGGCTGAGTTGATTGAAAGTGGAAGGCTATGGTGAAACTGAAATCGGAGAAATCCAAATTGTGTCATAGACTGCGGGTGTTAACCTGATATTTGCTAAAGCCTTGTTTACTGTTTTACTCGCGTTAAAAAATGAATTGGGCGAGTCGAGATCTCACATCATCCCCCCATTTGATTTCAATGTGTTTTTTGTTATATATACTGCGCAGCACCCCATCCCTTCCTAGCAAAACTATGTTTAGCCTTTCTGGACCTTCACCACAGACAGAGTGTGCAGGTGTATTGTACATCCGAAGGGTCATGTTTGCTTCAAACAAGGCAAGTCCTACTAGCGCATGCGAGGCATGCAGCTCGCCTATCCCCGCTGTGCCACTGACGCATCAGCATTGAATGTCTAACCCTGTTCACTGCTTCTGAACAAAAGCCACAAAGTGCAAAGCCGAGCCATCTCTCTCTGTACAGATCTGATGTGATTCGCGATGAGCAGCGATTGTTTGTTTACGCTCGATGAACGATATATTCACGGTTCATAATATTTATTGTGATGTTGCGATGTATCATTCTAAAATCCTATCCTAGAATCGGATAGGATCAGTGAGTCGGTGAAGAAAGGTTGAATGACATTCAACTAGCTGTGTTTTGCCCCCAGGCATGGAAACAGATACCTTCCTCTCATAACTTGATACGTCTTGCTATCTTGGTATAATTTCTACGCGTATACGACTAGTGCATCTAACCAGCATTATCACTGTAAGGTGGCTTATCTGTGTTTCTGTAGGTAGGGTACTCTCTACTCTGTAATCATATCCTAGTCCTACAAGTAGGAGCTTCTGGGCATACACACATACAGGCACACACGCTCACGTACGCATGCACGCACACGTGAGTTCTAATCTTTCACTCGTGCTACTCTCCCACAGAGTTGCCTTTACACTTACAGGCTTGTGTTTGTCAGCGTGTCACGTTAGACTCGTGTGGCATAGATTGTGAAGCGTAGATCAGTATTCAGTGCGACTGACAGACTGACAGTACAACAACTGATCCCTTTCATTTCTTGGAGATTCTTGACATTCTAGGCCAGAGATGAAAAGTAGTTTTAACGCGGTTGGATTTAGGATGTTAGGAAGAAAATTATAGATGCGATGTTTGGTTTCTCATTGGTTTTCATGTGGCCTAGATATCTGTAACGTTTTATAAATGGCTGGTCTCTTCTAAGGAAACTGTGGGTTGCTGGTTGGCCATGTGGTCACCCTCGTAGGAATAGCTCCAAATATCTTTTAACCACTGTATGCTATGTCTGACAATTTTTCTGCGAATTTCTCTTAGAATGAATGTTGTAAATCACATCAACAAGGGATCTGCACGCGACTTAGGTTATCTGCACAGGTATTTATTTTTAGGACGAAAAACCGTTTGGCAGGTGGTGGTAAGCTCAGTAAAGTGAAACTCTAGTGTGTTGACCTCACACTAACCTTGCCCTACGCGAGCAGAAGTGTATTTTATCATGCTCCACCGTGTCCACGTCTTCTGCTGACAACAAAGAGAACACACTTGCGAAACTTGTGTCTTTCGTTGCAAGTGTGGGCGAACGCGGTTTGCGACGGCTAGCCCCGCGCCGGTGTAAATGGTGCACTAGCTGTTGAACCACAGTCAGAGCATGACCGACGAGTTTTAAACGCCACTGCAATCCGACGACTCATGCTGAACTCGCCTTAGTTATATACCTGGCTGGGGCTTTTCAGCGGTGTCGGATTCTCGAAGACAAGTGGGAGGGGAGCGGGTGCGGAACGCCCCATAATTAATCGCTTTTTGAGCGTAGGTGTTCGCGCAGAGCGTTTTACGTTAATTGGGCAGTCATCCACCGATGCAGTGTGCTTCCGATCTGATCTACATCTTTCTCGCGGGCGTAATCTTCTTAGGATTTGTATGCAGTTGTCGGTTTTCGCGAAGCAACCGGCAACTGCTTTCTCAATGAAACAAATGAACTCGTCAACTTTTGTTATGTGCGCGAGGTTTAGCCGCGCCAGTTTAGTCGGCGGGTGTTAGCGTGAACAGTATAGAATGTGCAGATTCATAGTGATAGCGCAAGGCCTCAGAATGATTGCGATGTATGTTATTCAACGTTACTGCGTGTGCTACAGTGCTGGGCTTATTTTCGCTGACAAATGAGCAAACATTTCATGCGATATAATCTGCCGCAACTCTGCTATTTGCAAAGGGAAGCTTAATTCCTCGGTAATCCATCACAAAGTTACCTCTATCTTCAATGTTTGGGTCGAGATGACCTTAAGTTGGCACATTGGAGGGGTAAAGGTGGAAGAGGAAGAGGAAGAAGAAGATAAGCAAAGGGGTGGAGGAGGGGGAGGAGAAGGAGAAGGAGGAGGATGAGAAGTACGACGAACAGGTTGTTGGAGTGCCTTTGTCTCTAGGATCATCAGTAAATCATTGCGCGTGGTCCTGGGTAGCTACTAGCTATACGTACACGCGTGCGCAGCAACACAGAGCTACGACCGCGTGGGCGTTACTCGCACACGGCTTGTTATTTTAAAGGCGGGCTTGTGAGCCGACTCGACTGGAAGGAAGCAACTGGATTTCGAGCAACTGGAAGCGATCGGCAGCGACTAGTTGCGTCGAGTTGCCCACTGTTCTATTCCGAGCAACTATAGTGGCGGCCATTCGCAGGCAGTCGCGTCGCAGTCGACCGACCTAGAGTACCTACATAAAGATCTTAATATCTACCAAGATCTTAAGATCTTGATATCTACCTGGATCTTAAGATCTACCATATAACATCTTTATGTAGGTACTCTAGACCGACCTAAGCACTGCAGTCGCAGTGAATTGCAGCCAGTAATTGCTACCAGTCGAGTCGATCGGCTCGCAAGTCCGACATATACACTGCCCGTCCCCATGAATCGGTGTGTGCGTACTACACGCGCCGGCATATACCACGAGACGCCGTAGTGTTTGTCGTAGTCACTTACGACACCATAAATCTTTACTAGGAGAATCGTATTGTGAATGCACATGTCAGTGAACTGTCCAGCAATTAGGACACAAAATGCGGCAATCTTATTCCTCTTACAGGAAGCAAATTAAAGTGGAAAAAACTCCAACAGTAGGCCTACAGTAGTATGCGGTTTTTTTTAACCCACATATTTTGAACTTTGGTTGAGATAATTGGTCATAAATAAGGGAAATAATTTATAGCACTTTACCAGTCTTGCTGAATAGTACGGGTTAGAATGCGATGATTATTATCAAATATTTACAGAAAAGAGTGAATTTTACACACCCATGCACTTTTCGTGATTGCTGTTTTTTAGTTAGTTGATTTCGTTTTGATTGTTTGATATAGCATTATATCAAACTTCAAAGTATAGGATGATCGTAAGCCTAAAAGAACTCGGTAATTTTTTTAATTAAGGGTTTACAGACAATTACCCGACCGTTCTAATATTTTCCCGACCGGTGCAATATTTACTGGTATTGTTTGCGTAACAGCACGTGTCTGCAGTAAGGCTGATATGTCGCAGGACAGTCGTACATCGTTTCACCAACATTCATTACTTTACTTTCACTTTACCATTACTTTCACCAATTACTTTCAACATTACTTGTGACAACATATACGCAGCGATCGAAAGTTCTTTGTTGATGTCTTGTTGTTGGTCGCATGTTGAGGTCACTTGTTTCTCGCGAGACTGGCTCTACACTTTTCTAATGGTAATTATACCTCCGCACAACGGAGTTGCAGGGAGGTAATGTAATCGCTCTCGTATGTGTGTTCGTGTGTGTGTTCGTGTGTGTGTGTAGCCAGCAGCGAGCCAGCTGTTATACACACGCTCAACCGATCGATCGATTCAGCACCAGCTCGCCTTAGGGCGTTCAGTCAGCAGCAGCCAGCAGCGAGCCAGCTGTTATACACATGTATACATGTTACATGCTCGCGGAGGTATGCACTCTTTTTGAGTGCCCTCTGTCTAGTTTGCATTAAATATGGTACCAGCCTAGAACCACTTGCGTCGCAGAATCATACGCAGTTCTGTCAAAATTAGATACAGCTGCGTCTATGGCACTATTTACGAAAAACTTGTGGTGACATTGGACAATGTAGCTGCGTTATTTGCCATTTTATTTACCATAACAGCATAAATCCTTCGTAATCTTTAGGGTTAAGTAATAAGTGGCATATCTGCTAGTAATTGTGACTATGTTTCATTATATGTTTTTAGTTGCATTTGAGAGATGATTCTTTTACAACGTTGCAGAACGGAATCGCATGTTGTGCCAGCTTGCAAGGTCAACTTCTGCGGGTTGTATATAGTATTAACTCGTTGTGACTTGTGTACGTCTAGAATCGAATAATAGCGAGTTCCCGCACCCTAGTTCTACGCTCCGAATTGTTGCTAGCTAACTTTTTGCAGGCATCTCTAGGGCTTAGCTGTGACGGGAGATGGTTGAAGGCCGGTGTTTGGCGCCTGTGGGGGTTCCCCCCCCCGGGCTGAAAGACGACATTCACGTCTTTAAACGCGCACTTTTATTGGCGGGTCGAAACGGTTGTGCCTGGGACGTGCCCCACTCGCGACCCGTTTGGGTCGCGAAACCTTGTATATATATATATATATATATATATATATACTAGCTTCAGGGTACGATGAGTACACTATTACCCGTCCTCCAGACGGGTTTGAGTGGAGTATGATTTGAGGATGGCGGTTTAACCATTTATCTCTCATTTTT